TTGGAATTTTTGTCTGATGCCACTTTCTTAGCTTTCCTTTCATTTTTACATGTTCTTACTAGATTTTGCACAGGTATACTTGTTTTGGGTTTTGTATTTTTTTTAGGTATACTTGTATTTTTTCGGGTTTTTTTCTTTGTGTGGGTTGTAGTGTGGGAGGAGGAACCCCTAGGGGTGAGTTTACAATGCATTTTTTTTTTGCTTTTTAGACTGGGGATCCATCTCCCCTCCCCTCTCCTGTACTTTTTTTAACACGCAGGGAGCCACAAGTGCTCTTTCTCTAAAAAAAAAAACTATACACAAAGTAAACTTATTATTATTTTTTTTTATGTTAGTGGAGAGATAACTTTAATTAAATTTGTATCTTCTTCCAAGAATATTATAATAATAATAGAGATGATGATGATGATGGTAACATAAATAATACTTGTTAGTTGAATTCATTTTTTATGCATAATTAAATTTTAGAAGTATGTTGTGTGCAAGACAGCTGGTCAATGCTAGTTGAATTATCAAAATACTTAGAAATATTGTATTTGTCACCTCGATGTAAGTAACTAATTTTTATTAGAGGATAAACATATCATTTTTAGTTGGGGGTTTTAATCCCTATTATTTATGGTTATTTCTTATGTTTGTTAGTCATTCTTTTGCTACTTTTTACTTTTCAGGTTTCAGTTATTGCTCGAGATGAAGTAATCAACTGCTTTAATTTATTAATGAAAAATTTATTGCATATTTGAGTTAAACCTATAATTATGATATTTTATTTTACCGCACTTTACTTGTATGAATTTGCAACTGGCATATCCCAAGTCTGCATGAAATAACTTATTTCTTACATATTATGCCTGTGAAAAAATGGACATGCTTGAGCGTTATAACATATGAAGGTCGTTGAAACTCTTTTGGATATTAGCTAGTCGAGCTTACACGCCCGTTGAGTGACGACTATATAAGAAATCACTAGATTTTCTTGAATTGATATTGACGTTCCTAGTTTTGGCGTGTCCGTTAAAATCAATTATATAAATATAAATGAAAAACTAAATAATATGAATATTTGATTGAAAATGATTTCATGTTTCCATATGATAAGGAAACATGTTTGATATTTGTAATACTCTTGACATAATAATCATTCCTATTTGTTGTTCATACTACACATGTTCTTTCTCTTGTTGTTAATGCTTTAGCAGGACCATATACACTAGAGTAAGCTTTTTAGTTTTAGGTTTCATAATTTAACATTCTTTTAATATTTGTTATATCTATTTTATTTTCTTTTTTGGGTTTGGGCAGTCTTTACTTGTTGTTATTTCAATTTTGATTTAGTTATTTTTCTATTTTTCTTTCAGTTGAATCTATGAACTATTACTTATGGAATAAAATTTATATTTTCTTGTTATTCTTGTTATTATTTGTAGAAAGTCATTCTATTGAAAATATAAAACATGTTCAATTCATTTTATCATATGGTGTGTTGTTGGGGTGTGTTGTCGTCTAGACTCAGGGTGTGGCAAAAATGATATATGTTTATAGAGCTCCCAATGCTGATAATATACTGCAAATCTGAAAATCAACAATAAAGGCGACAACAACTATAGTGTTGTTGTAGAGATTTCTTTTAGAGGGCAAGCCTTTATCAGTGAAGAAAATTGTTGGATGTTGTGAGGTGTGTTGTGGGGTTATGGTTATTAAACAAAATTCTGATCGGAGTCTCTTTAAGTTGATCCATCGGGCAACCTCACGGTCTCCTCTAATATAGTGAGCATGACACCTACAATGTGGATCGATTAAACTAGTGCAGGTTCATTGAGATTTCTTTTGGCTGGCACTTTTTCCTGCTACTAAGTTACCACCTTAGGTGCCATGAATTCTCTAAGCTTTCTGCCTTTGACCAACTCCTCAATCAAGTTATGAGGGTATCGATATTCCTCCATATCATGCTCGTGGAATAATAATGTACATAAGAAGTTATGTTATAAAAATTGGTTGAAATGTAAAAGCTTAGAGAACTGGGAAAAAAATCAAACAGCCCACGGGGAGTCTAAAAGAACAATAAGTTATGTTATAAAAATTGGTTGAAATGTAAAAGCTCAGAGAACTGGGAAAAAAATCAAACAGCGCACGGGGAGTCTAAAAGAACAATCTGTGACGCCAAAATTTCTGCTTTTAATGATCTTTATAATATATTAGATACTACGGAGGGTGAATATATATATATAT